GTTCTCAGTTATATCCACACAGACCTAGATTTTTAAAATAGATCTAGATATAAAAAATGTTGAGGAAAACAAAAATTCCATGAAAATTGCACAGCGGACGGAAAAAAAATGCGAGTGTCTTTAATTTCATTATTTTGACGAGCGCCTGATTTCACCACAATGCCACACAAGTAACACGCGTTATTGAAAGATAAGAGCAGACACACATTCCAGCTATTTTTGCACTCATGCGTTGCGTGACGCTAATCTTACCGATGCACGCGTTCCATTTGTTAAGATTTAGGCTTACTCTCCCGAACTTTCAAATAAACATTTTTATACACGTGATCTTATTTTCATAAAACAATTTCATTGTGCTGTAACATGTTCTATTATTTATTGTCCGATGCTATATTATGACATACATCGTAGGTTCAAAGTACAATAACCGGCATCATTGGTGTAGGAGATATAATAGGCGCATCTATGTCGCACGCATAAATCTTTGGTTTTCTGCTGAAATGTTGCATCCCACTCAGCCTGATTTAGCCCTGACAGGCAGGGTCGGATGCCTGCCTTCTAGATTATCAACACTGTATCGATAGGGGCGTTAAACACTTTTACATTTTTAAGAATAATGTCTATTTAGTGTTTTAGCAAAACGATATACATCACGGGCTTCTTTGTGTAAGGTTGCACTTTAACGGTCTAGTTTTGTATTATTGTTACTCTTCGCAAAATGTCATATCGTCGGTACGTTGTAGACACAGATTCATGTAAGGGACCAAAGTTTTGCGTACGAGACATCTTACTGTGCTACTGCACGCTGTTTTAAACGTGAAATTCATGCAACATCATGGGTACAAGTCTATTTTAAGGACCTACCATCTTCCAGTTTAATAAAGCTGCAGTCGTGTTTTCATTATTATTATTATAATTATTATTTTAACTGGTAGGAAAACACGCCTGTAGGCCTACACTGTAGGCATAACAATACGCATGTATTGCGTATTGACATAATGAAATATAATAATATTATTATAGACGCAATACGCATTCACACACCTTGCAGGGCTTTTCATGAATGACATAATATTCCACACAATTTGAGGAATTGTGATATGTGTGTTTTGGCTGTTAACGTAAATGAAGTGCCTTAATGGTACGTATTCCTTTAAGATAACAACAAAAACAAAACGAACAAACAAAAACCACAGGCCTATATTTTGGACTACAGTCACAGAACAAACTTAAAGGAAAAAGGAAACTTTAAGATGACCTTGGAAACGATCTCGATCTACAAGAAACCTTACGTTCTGACTGTGGATATTTTACAAGATGGCTCCCGTGCCGTGTTCACTTTTTCGATGGCAGCCAGAAAACTCAGAACATAAACTTCTGTCACACAGTAAGACTAAACTATGTCAGCAGAAGTTAATCATTGGCTTTGTCAGGTTGATTTTTGCTTCGTGCAGACCACATGTCAAAAACAATCAGTTGTTCGAACGACCACTTTCCACTTCCCAGCTTGTGTATTTTAAAATTATAATTACGCTGTCTAAGACGTCGACCTGTCTAAAACAACCACTTTTTCGACTCGACAATGGGTGGCCGTCTTGGATAAATTCGACTGTACTATAATTCCCACATTTAACTACTGTCTGTCCCGAAATTTCAAACAAAACAAAACACCTCGTAAGGTGTGTTTCTAACGTGCTCATTACTTGATCACCATAAGAATTTTATCATTCCTGTCAAATTTGCAGTGCAAATCAAACAAGGTTTTGTATTTTTCATAATTTCTAGCCACACTTGCTCGGTTTTTATGTGAAAATCTTTTATTTATTGCATTTCCTACTACTCGTCCTCCGTCACCCACGCATAGTGGTTTCACAAATATTATGTTTTGTGTCCTTTTTATTTCTTTGTGCATTTTATGTGCAGCGTTTTGATAACTCAATACGTTTGTTTTCTTTATTATTTATGCATTCAGCGTATTGTAGGCTGTTGAACAAAAGTGTAACATAGCCTCTGCTTTAAGTGATGAACTGTTTTTCCTGGAGTGACTGATCTCTTTTCGTACATAGTTCAACAACCGTCTCAATCGGAATTCTTAGCCTGCATGCAATAAAATTTAAAATCAAACCATGGCTCAGACATTTTTAAAATCTGGCAGATGTTTTAGCTAGATGTATCTAGCATCAGAACTCATCGTTCGCTGAGAACACAGGGTGACTATGTCTACATTTTTTGTTTTGTGAAAAATGGATTTTCAGGGCAAGGTGTTTCAGGCAACTCTTGGATAGATCTGTTGACACATCGGGAACTGCGATACTGCGATTTTGGCAAAACTACTGGGCCGGCTGGTTTGATATCAACAAACGCGATGCAATATTATAATCGTTTGATTACCTCCATTACGCTATCTTTGGAGCTTTGGAAAACACGGGCTTGGACACTTATGGCTCTCAAACCACGAAGTATTGTTTGTTTAGGGCGGACGGGGAGATTTTGGACTTTAAGCGATTTATTTTACGTAGATAAAAAAAGCTCAGGGTATTCAACTGTGTTCGAAACGTAGATGAAAAAGTTTAGGGTTTTCAACTGTATTCAAAACAGGCCTCGGATATTGAATGGCTTTGTGAAAGAAGAAGAAGTAAGACAACAGGCCTATTGTTAAAACTGCGTCTAACTCACATCGCAAAATGTTTACCGAAGCCGCTATCACAACCAGAAACGAAGATGTACTTGTCGTCGAAGTCACCCACAACAAGGCTCCGCAGGAACCAATGGACGAGCCAGCCCAGAAAGGCAAACAACATCACAAAAAGAATCAGCATCTTGGGGTTTCTGAGAAAAGGCAAAAGTCCAACCTTTAGTATTCATTTCTGGTTACTTTATTCGATTGAACTTGACACAGATTATTTTGATTCTGATTCATAACACAGATTATTTCGATTCTGATTCATGAAGACCACCCTTTCCACATATATTTTCTCTCTCTCTCTCTC